AGTATTTTCACAATCACGAACGATCGATTCGGGAAGGATCAAAGGTAGTATCGTGCATGTTTGCACGACCGTCTGTTCTAGATAGCGTCATAATCGCGTATTTGCCGAGAGGGCTGAGATACGTGTAACTCCGAACACCTCCTGATTGGCAAACATGCATATTTTAACGTTGTCCCATACTCGCACGAGCCAGATAACGCGCGTTGTTCGTATCAATTATTCCTCGAAATTCAACGCGTCCCTTCAACCGTCCCCCCACCCCCCTTGTCCTTTACCCCTCTCCCCTCTCCCTTTTCCTCTACCCTTTAATAGGAATGAGGTTTTAATTGAAATGTAATCCCAATTAAAACGAATCCGCAATCCACGACGCACAAACGCGTATAATCGCATTAGAGAAATGGAATATCCGGTCGAGTTCACTCATTGTAAATCCGTTGGAGGTGATGGTACGTTGATGTTGATGAGATGGTTGTACCGATGAAGGCTGCTTGCTAGGGGTGGTGGTGGTGGTGGTGGTGGTGTCAGTGCCGATAGTGGACAGGATTGTTGACGTACGACAGGCTGAGCTGAGCTCCGTTTACCGTCTTCCTGTTCACGACATCTTATCGAGATTAGAGATCGGAAACTGGCAACCTCCAATCTCTCATCTCCTCTTTTTGACTGGTGTGGCTACAAGTAAACAAACTTTCCCTCAAAAGACTCACAAAGTTCGTAAACATTTAGTTCTCTCTTTGAGGAACAAGTAAAACTTCTCTTGGATATTTTGTAAGGAATAGGAAATTCTAGTTATAGATATATTTCTCTCAAGCAAATAACGTTATCATTTTGTTTGAATAAAATAAAATAAAATGTAAAAATAAAGATGTTTCTTAGATAGAATAAAATTTGAAAGATGATTTATTTTTGCGTCAATATATATATTTATTCATTTTTCTTGCCTCGTCTCTCATAATTCTACGCATTTGGAATTATACAGTCTTATTTTTTAAACATTACATCATTCTCACCCGACGACTATGTATAACACATACTCTCTCGATATCATACTTTTTATTTTTTCTTCGATCAAAGAAGAACGACGCATAGTATTATATATAATATCTCTGTGATCATCATCTGTCTCTGGTATAGTTATGATTAATCAAACTTAAAATCTCTCCTAGGACTCATTGGAGTGTTTTATTATCGAATTTCTATGAAGCGTTTATTTTTTTTTTTTGTATTTAATTCACGTACAATTAATTAACTCCATACTCTTTGTTTCTTCTCCTCTCATTTGTATTTCTCTCTTTTATTTAAATATTCTATCGCATTTTGCGATTCTAACACTGTGTCTTCTCTCACGTACAAAAACTTGACTTACTTTACAAATTTTACTTGTTAACATTACGAAACAATCCAAATTTTGTATATTGTCAACCATTAATATTTCAAGAGAAACAGGAAAGAGGAAGAAAAAAGAGAGAGAGAGAGAGAAAGAGAGAGATTGGAAAAAGAGGACGATGTATTTTCTTCGCGACAATTTTTTTTTTTTCATCATCTAAATATATCTAATTAAATTCTTCGATTTCGAAGAATAGAGAAAAAGTTATTAACATAGCCGATATACGAATATCTCGATAAATATTACAAGTGTTTGTGTTTGTGTATGTACTAATTACTTTTACTTACTATCTAATTAATCTTTCTATTCACGTAATTACTGTAAAATACTAATACCTCTTTTTATATGTATAATTTTTTACTTTCTCTTCGTCACAGGCTTCGGAACCTTGTTACCGGTTCTTTAAATCCAACCACAATTAGCACAGACAAAGGTTTCAAGCTAAATACTAGATTTTTTTAAACGTATGATAGGTCTCATTTTCTTTTTTCTTTTTCTTTTACTCTCTCATACTCGTGTACGTGTACGTGTACAACAAAGTGTAACAATATATAGTACATACATACAAATTTTGCCTAATAATTTTTTTTCTTTCTTTTTTTTTTTTTCATTTTTTTTAACGGCAATCTTGCGAAGGTACTTTGTTTTTCAGCGAATCGCGCATTTACGTGCCACGTAGGACCACCTGGTTGTAATATTATCAGAGGGACATTAATTTATTCTTTTTTTTTTTCTATATATATATATATATGTATTTACGCTAAGCACCACCTACGCGTACGCACAAACACTCGTCGCGAAAATTGTCGGGCCATTTCTCTCAAACTCTCCAACGTTTAAATATTTATTACATTATTATTATCATTATTATTATTATTATTATTATTATTATTACTATTATTTATTTTGTCATGATGAAATTTTGAGCGCAAGTGGAACAAAAGAGAGAGAGAGAGAGAGAGAGAGAGAGAAAGAGAGAAGGAAAGAGAGAGAGGAAGAGAGAGAGAGAGAGAGAGACGGCTCGGTTACTCATTTGTTATCACTTTAATCGGACTATCCAATGCATTTATTTATTTATTTATTTATTTATATTTATTTATTTATTCTAATTTGCTTGGTAAACTCTTACTAAAATGTAACAATGTTTTTTGTTTTTATTTTTTGCCTCTCTTTATCGTGCAAGCGTACATCGACGTGTTACTAACAATAAGTTACGAATTACGTCTTCAACAAGTGGGACAACTAACGAGAACAGATTGTACTTTTACTACTAATAGCAATTAATAATTTTTAATAATCATTGAAAGATCATCCTCTCATTAGAACTTTGATGGATTTCTCAATAGTCGCCATTATCTTCTTACAATCATATTTCATTCGATACGTTGTGCTTTTTTATTATGTGTGGCATTGTTGTTGTTGTTGTTCGTTTTATCAAGGATTATAATATTATAAAAAACATAATCGTATTTTTTGTTTCTTTTAACTTTGCGTAGAAAAATCGCTTTCGAAAAATTCGGTGCAAAAGTATAAAAAAAAGATTGTAAAGAATTCGGAAGAAAGTAGTTTTTTGTTCCGCGTTGTGTAGACGTAAGATTGTAGGATACTTTGTCATTTTTCTTTTTCTTATTTTTTTTTTTTTTTTATTTATTTTTTATTCTTATTTTTTTTTTTTTTCTTTTAAGCGAAGAAGATACTGTAGATAAAAATGTGGGATGTTGTTTTTTTTTCTTTTTTTTTCTTTTTTCATTTCCTTTCGATTAATTTAATATGCGACTAATAATAATTTCGGTGATACTTATGCGACTTATTTCTTATGCTCAGTAAATACATCATCTCTCTATTCTCTATCACAGATGAATGGGACAATTTTTTTCATTTTTTTTTTTTTTTTTTATTATTATTATTATTATAGCGAATTGTGAAAATGTATTTTTATTTTGGGACGTGTTTTAAATCAAACGATTGTTTTACCTTCTTACTTTTACGTGTATGAGCATAAAGAAAAAGAAGAAGAAAAGTATTATAGATAATGAAAAGAACTGAAAAACATTTTTGCATTGTAAAAAATGTGTTCGATAATGCTAATTCAACATGGGGGATGAAGCTTCTTCTTGAAATCAGGTCGCAACATTTTGTTGACATATTATAATGATTTTTTGTAACGTTGATAAATCGTTAGGAAAAAGGAGTTTTTGCGTAACATTTGTTTGTTTGTTTTTTTTCTTTTTATTTTCTTGCTAGGCGTGTGTCTTGCGCTAAGCTTGCTTATGTTTTTTTTTTTTGTTTATATATATATATTTCTTTTGGTTATTTTTTTAATATGAAGATCCTCTTTATTAGAAACATCTAAAAATACTACCTTTTATTTTATATAAAAAGATTTCGTGAATGCATTAATATTTTTTTTTGTTTTATGTGTGTGTGTATGTATGTGTAAGCATATGTAAGAAGTGTGTGATATTTTGTTGTATTGTTTGCTTCATCTAAATATACAATCCTTTCATAATTATATGTACAATCTTTCTTTCTAATACCTTATCGTGTTAAATTCAATTATGAGACACGTGGATTTTGTTTGCAAATGTAAATATGCTATTTGTGAATTTATGCACATTTAATGTTAATTATTGTAGCTTAGCAGTTGATACATTTAACGAATCAAGCACGCGAAATAAACGTTGTTTCTTCAAATCTTCCATACTTCAAAGTGTTTTTACCGGTGATAGGAATTCTTAATTGCCTTAAAAATCCTCCAATTGCTTAATAATTCTTATCACAAAATATTCAGGCTTTGCTCGTGATAACAATTATCAGAGTGTAAAAAAACAAAGACGATTAAAGTACGGCCCTTTTAAAAAATGTTTCATATTTCTTGATGATTTGATACGTGAAATGTTATATATATATAACATGTGTATGTATGTATGTGTATGTGTATATGTGTATTTATATATAATATAATGTAATATAATATAATTTAATATAATATAATATATAATATAATTTAATGTAATATAATATAATATAATATATAATATAATATGATATAATATATAATATAATTAATATAATATAATATAATATAATACTCGTATAATGTAATATAATATAATATATATTATATATGCGTATGATCAGCAAAATTGGATGGAGCCAAAGGCATTTATTAGAAAATTTGAGATTTTCGATATCCCTTATATTTTGCATGTCAATCTTACAATTAGTTCCTCCAAACTTTAGCAAATGGTAGAATTCTAAATGAATTCATTTTTAAATAAACGCAAAGCTAAAGTCGTGTTGAATGATAGTAACTTCGAATTACAGGTACAAGATCAAAGATCAACCGTTCATTATCGCACCACTTAAGATAAAACCTTATTCAAGTGTACCTTTTCTACCTTCAAGTACTTCTTTCTTATAACCCCTTCATTTTACGATTTATCTATTCAAATAATTCATTCTTTTTTATTATTCTATCAACTAGCGAGAAAAACTTCGGCGTAGATCTTTTCGCTTCTTTTTTTTATCACGTAACTTAAAAATAAATTATTAGTTGATACTTTAATCTTATATAATTATATTATCTAATTCTCACGTAACAATATATATATTATATTTATATTTATATTTATATTTATATTTATATTTATATTTATATTTATATACTATCAGAAAATGAGAAGTACTTATAGAAAGGACAGCTTTAGGCGCGCTTGTCAATTTTTTAGAAAAAAAAAAAAAACAATAAAAACAACTTATGCGAAAGTATGCGTCGAAGAGGTATATAAAACATCGCATTTGGACATTAACAACACATGATCTTTTTGTTTTATCGTGTATGTAGGCATACTCGTCATCGTTCAGCCTATGGTGTTTCTTAAAAAAAAAAAAGAACTATTGCATTAACGTATATTTAAATACGTGTACCTTAAAAGCAAAGGTAAAAGTGACGAACAATGCTATCCACTACGATCTTCTCAAGGGTCCACTAGGCGAATTTTTCGGCGAATAAAGGCCTAATTTAAGACCTAACTCTTTCGGTTTCTTCGACGTATTCTTTACTGGAAACGGACTGAATTGTGCCTTTGGACTAGGCGTTGAGTTCAAATTATCTTCACCATTTTTGCTAGATCTTCCTAAATTGGCCAAACTCAAAGATGACTTTTTGTAACAACTGGAACCTCTGCTAGGTTGTTCGGTGTATTGTCCGGTAATAGTCATTTTGTCTGGAAAGTCGGGATTAGAAATAGGTCGATTTGTTTCGTCAGCAATGTTTGGTGAAAGTTTTGTGCCTAGATAATTAATGGTAGGTGTAAAGGGTTGATCGAATCGTCGATTAGGAGAAAGTGTTTGTTGATAATCACGCAAATAGGTTACCGAGTTTGATTCGTTTTCTAACATGCCTGATAAAACACCATCATATTCAAGATTTTTCTCATGAATATAATTTCTCGCAGGTGATGGTTGATCGTATTTTCGACGTAACAAATTCGAACTTTCACTCGAATAATCGAGATAAGAACTAGAAACGATATCGTGAGTTCTCGATTCTTTTCCAGCCGACTTGTTGGGAGTAACAATTTTGTTAGTATCATCGCCAAAATACATAACACTTTTATCTATATTCATTTGTTTGTTCTCAATCGGCAAACCGAATGTTGTTTCGTCGCTGAGTTTTCGTTGAGGTGACTCGTTGTCGTATCTCACGCGAAATTCCAATGATTCTTTTGTCATAATAGGACTCTTCAAATGAACGTCATAAGGAGAATTAGTACAGATCGTAAGAGATTCACGATCGTAATATTCAAAATTAGAATCTACCGTATTGTCGTAGGGACGTGGGGTATATGGATTACTTGGTACCCTTCTTGGTGATAAATTACTTTTATAATCGAAACTTTTGTAAGGATCGTATGAAGTTTTTAACGGGGAAGTATCGAACGATGACATGATTTTTGATGGATATCCAATAGGAGTGGATACGTTTGAAGCGTATGGGGATGCATTAGTAACGTAGGTAACCGCAACCGGTGACAAGGTTTTTGGAGAAATGTCCAATGGTGTGTCAGGAATCACCTGTGCCGAGGATATCTTGTCCAATTTTTCTAATTCTCTGTAAATATCTATGTCACTTTTGGGTGACAGATATCTCACGTAGGTCGATGTTGAATAAGGTAAAGTTGGTTGAGCGTATTGAGGAAATCTTTCGTTTTGAATCGATGTTTCTTGAAGAGAACCTTGCTCACTTCTCGTCTCGATAGAATCGTTTGATGATTTATAGGAAAAAACATTAGTTGAGATGCTGGTCAAATCGAGACCTTCGGTATCGCTGATGTTTTGACTGGAGGAACCCTTTTCCAATGTAGCAACGCTCAATCTTGGCTCTTCCTCATAGTTTGCCAAAAGTTTCGACAGTTCCTCGTTAATCTTACGATCTATCAGAGCCTCTCTCGTGTCGAAATATTTGTGAGATATAATTTCATCCACGTCAAGATCTTCAATGCGTTCAGTCTCGTCGATCAACGACAACTTTGTGAGTTCCTCGTTGATTTTAGCATCAAATTCGGACACGCTTGTACCCGTCATATTGTCAAAATCATGAAAATTAATTCGCGCCAATTCCTCGTTTATCTCATGCTCATTTAATCCCATTTTCTCCAATATTGGACTGAATATCTTTGAGATTTCTTCATTAATTGGACTTATCGTTATCTCCTTTGATATTTCTTCCAAATCGGGTAAACGTTTTTTTGCTTGACACGCTAGAATCTTTTGAAGTATCGCCGAATTTTCTTGAATTATTTTCAATGCTCTGTCACTACTTCTCCTACCGTTGTTTCCCTTCTTTCTAGGTTTCACCTTAGTCCAAACACCTAATTTGGATTCTCTACCGTCGTCATCGTCCTCACGTTTGTCCACGTCGTTGTTGTCATTATCGATAGACTTGTTAAGTGAGACCGTTTTTAAAATACTATCGACACCCTCATCTATATTTATCTTTGGTCGTACAACGTAAGATTTTCTAGAATCTACGTTAGTTAAATTATAAGACGTTTGGGTTATATCAGTGACATCCAATCGATTTCTCGAAAAATTACTTGCCGAATTACTGAAATTATCTTGTCGTCTGGCCTCGAGATTCTTGAAATCCTCCCATATGTAACTGGTCTTCTTACTAAGTATAGCACTATCAGATGGTCCATCGCTAAATGCCTTTGCCTCTAAATGCTTCATGTCTTCCAATATATCACTCGATCTTTTCTTTGCGATAGACGTTGATAGTTCGTCCGTAGATGCCGAAGATTTCAAATCTGCGAACCTTCGATCCAGACTGCTGGAACTTCTTTCCATGAATTTCGTGCGATCCTTGTGCCTGCAATTAAGATTCATGAAATGTTTGTTCAATTGTTCACAAGGCAACTGTGATACCGTATCTGTCTCGGCCAACCGTTCGTCAACGTTATTCTCAATAGAATCTTCCTTATTCTCGTTTCTGTACAAAATCGAATTAGATCCGAATTCGTATAAATTCGAATCACTTTTCTCCCGATCCTTTTGCTCACGATCCCTTTCTAATACATTCAAGGACGAATTTTTCTTCAAAACTGTATTTTCCTCTCTATTTTCTATCCTCAAAGATACAGAATCCAAATGAATTCGATTACTACTCGAACATTTGTTCGAATCTTTGGAAACGGATAATCTTTGTTCGGGTGATGTGTCCGCGCTATCCGTGCTACATCTTCGTCTAGAAACACTGTACGGCGACGGAGTCTTTCGATTTGGATTTGAGATCGGATAAAACGGCGAGACGGCCGTGCTAAGATCGATGGACGTGTCAGAAATATTATCTTGACCTCGTTTGCCGTAGTTCGAAGTGTATTTTATTGAATTGGCACTTATAGGCGATCGAAGGTCCGAACTGAAGGACCTCTCGGAAGACTTCATTTTACTCGGACTGCAAGAGTCACTGGAGCAACTGCTTATGATGAGTTTTGGACTCGATTCTGATTTGTACTTGAGCGAGTCCGTACTAAATGGCGTCGAAGGACTCGACTTATCGTAGGACGATTTTTTTTCATCCAATCTTGGACTCTCTCTTGCTACGTCGGATTCGGTTGTAGATAAAAGTACCAGGGTTTTCGTATCCGAACTTATCGAGGAACTTATTGACTTGTCCGCTGAGAACTCTCGAGAGACCGATTTAACCGGTGTCCTTGGACTGATGGTCAAACTCGAACCCTTTGAATCCGGACCCATTGTTTCACCCGAACTGAATGACTTTGAACTTTCCGGCGTTCTAGGACTCTTATTCGTTTCTATATAAGATTTAACGCTTTGTGTGCTTTGTAATTTGCCGTCTAACGGGTGATCCGTATTTTTACTAACATCTAACGTCGCAACTTGGATTGTGTCATCGTTAGTATCATAAGATACTTGATTCAACGTTTTTATTTTATGATCTACGGTTATCGGTGAAATTGGAAGATGACCAACGTATGTTTTCGACGTGTAAAAACTTTGTTTAGAGAACATCGAATGAGTCGATGAAAAATCCAACGTAATATCTTTTCTCTGGGGACTCTGGGGAAAAACGTTTGTGTAAGACTTAAAAGAACTTTCGTAACTTTTATCCTTCGAATCCGGTGATTTGACTGGCGATTTGATTGGCGATTTGATCGGTGATTTGATCGGTGATTTGATCGGCGATTTGCTTGGTGATTTGATAGATGATTTGTAAGAATTCAACAACGTTTCGCAATGAAATGATTTATCTTTTGTTTCCAGTGTGTCCATACTTTTTTTTAATGAGTCTAACGATACGTCAAGGCTTGTGTCATTTGTGTCCAATGATTTCAAAGATTTGTAAGAGTCTAAAGAAAACGTTTCAAAACGTTTCTCGTCTTTTTTATCTGGTGATTTTAAAGATTTATAAGAATCCAAAGATGTTTCGAATCGTTTAACGCTAATATCTGGTGACTTTAAAGATTCGTAAGAATGAACAGACTCCTCGACCCGTTGATCATTTTTATCCGTTGAATTTAACGACTTGTAAGTATCCAAAGATGTCTCGAAGGGTTTATCATTAATATCAGACGATTTCAATGATTTATAAGAATCCAAGGATACTTGAAAATCCGTCTCATTCGTGTCAACCGACAGACTACTTTTAGATTTATAAGAATCCAACGAAACTTCAAAATCAAGTTTCACCTTTTTATCCGGTGATTTCAAATCGATAGATTTATAACTATCCATAGATCTTTCAAATTTTTTATCAAACTCGTTCGGTGATCTATCAGTCTTGTAAGAATCCAAAGATAACTGACCAAGTTTATCCTTTTTATCCGAATATTCGTTTTGCTTATCGTAACCTTTTATCATAGAGACGGTATCGTATTTAGAAACAATATCCGAATTGATGATCGTTTCCTTGGAAATGAAATCATGAACATCGTCGGATGATGAGCCAGGTACGTTCCTCCTGCTACTATCATCGTAATTACCAATCGCAATTGTTGTTGTCATCGATCTAAGATCCTTCATTATCTCCGTGTCAGCATCGTCCTTTTTGCTTTTAATAGTTTCGTTGTCTTTCTCATCCGTAATATAAATCTTTGTTTTTGACTCGTCGTAATTTAATTTGAAATAATCACGATTGTCGTACGAACCCGAATATTCATTTTCATCGTCAAGACCATTTTGACACTTAAAAGATTTAACGTGATCGACTTCTAGCAACGTTTTCACCTTTAAACTGTCGTCTTCTTTCTTGCTTTCATTTTTTAAAAACGTTTGAGGAACCATCGTATTATTGTCATCTTCAGCCGATAATCTTCTTATTTGATCGGTTATCTTAGCTATCGAAATTTCCGTTAAATCGGGACTATTTTCCTTGATGACATCACGGGAACCAGTCGTTACGTCACGGGATAAAGAACGAACGGGCGAATTCCCTGAAGTCGAAGACCCCTCGACTTTCCCGCCCTTTTCTTCTTCCCCTACCCCCTCTTCCTCTCCCGCCATGACGTAATAATTGTCTGAAGCTGACGTCAGTTCTTCGCTGTCTACGTCACTGAATCGATCAGGTTCGTCGCATAATTCCGTCGACGTGCTATCGCTGTCACTGTCTACGGTCCCGCCGCTTTTTGGTGACGTTTGCTCATCCGTCGTCGTCATCGTCGTCGTCATCGTTGTTGTCGTCGTCTCCTCCGGTGATTGTATCGACTTCTCCTTGCATTCCGTAGCCTCTATGATGAATCAAAAAGACCGTCGATAAGGCAGCTATCCAACGATAAGAGTTCATGATCATTCGATGATAAAGTATTGTGCAAACAAAATGTTGACGTTAAGAAATCAAACGAGATTGATAGAAAATAACGAAGTCATGCGTGGCAAGAAAAAATTGGAAATAAAATCAATTTCAAGTCAAAATGGGTGAAAAATTTGTTTGGGGTTTTGGGAGTGGTGGTCTAAGAAAAACAAATTATCATGGGGTAACTCCTACGACAACGACGATGACGACGATCGGTAAGAAAGAATTCTACTTTCGCGTGATTATGTTTTTTTGTTTGTCATAAGTGTAGAAATAAAAACAAGAAGAAATAAATAAATAATAAAAAGTGAAAAATCGAAAGTTAATAAAATAGATAGAAATGATTACTCATACCGGCAGCTGCCTCAGCAAATTTGTGTTTCTGCCTTTTCGTGTCTTTCCAATGCAACGTGACAACTTGTTGTTGCCTTTCCTTTTTACTTTGAGCTCGTGGACTGTGAAGAACGACGGGCCTCGTCTTGGAAGGGGTCGTACCAGAAGACAAACCTAGCGAACGATTTTTTCCACTGACTAGGGCATTCTTACCGACTAACAGGTGATTCATTGCCTGAGAAGTGGGAGGAGGTACCATCGATTGTCTCGCACACGCGGCTATATCAAAGAAAAATACTTTTAATTTATTTTATTCGATTTAATTGTAAGCTTTTTGTAAAAACATCGCAGAAAGCATTAACTTAAAAAAATTCAAATAAAATCGTATTTTTTGTTTGTTTGTTTCAATTTCCATTAAATAACACGTCAATTATTCGTGATATTCGTTTTTTTTTTTCAAGTACAAATAACGAATTTTTTTTATAAATATTAAATTTATTTAAATTTGATTAGTATTTGAAATTCAATTTTTTTTCGCGAGTTTCACATTCAAATCTATATGCATAATTTCGTATATATAAATTTAAATTTCGTGTTTCGTTACCAAATAATTAATCGACCCGATTGGACCCGATTATCTACGGAATTTCGTTTGTTCTTTGACAATTGGTAATTACCGGATAGTATAATATGAGCTTGCCGTTGTCGTTCTCGAAGCTTAGCATACTGTTGTTTCAACGTACTGATGTCCAAAGCTAGACGTTCTCGATCACTGCCAGGAGCCATCGCTTGTATCGCTCCCATCGTTGAGGAAATGTGTTCTATGGTAAAAAAATATTTCCATGTAAGGTTATTTTAATCAAGAACAGTTTAACATAGGACACAACCTTATTTTTGAAAGAATTTTTAATCCTTAGAGATAGAACTAGCTAAAATAATATTTAATAATAATTATTAATTGTTCAAATTACCACTCAAAAGTTCACCTTTCTTCAATTTTTGTGCCATACTAAACATAGCAGCAGCAACGGCTAATCTTTCATCTTCTTCGGTATCGCTATCTTCATCGTCACTTAATTTTCTAGCCCACGGTGTAATATTATACCTATGTTTTTCTCTTAGCCCTGTCACACCATGCAATGGTCCCAAACTGACGATGTTCTATAAAATAATCGTCTTGTGACACATATTTATTAAGAACAAAACAAAAAGATTTAAATTAAAATTAAACATATTCAATCTAATAGATGAACAATTTGTTTCAAGTATGAAACACGAGTTATATCATTTTCTCGTAGCTGACCTTTATAAGATTATTCGTATCCGTAAATTCCAACATTTCTCTCGTGAGAACCCCCATGATACTGTAAAACTCGTCTGCTGACGTCACGGTCATAATTCGACTGAAAGAAAAGTATGATTAACGATCAGATATCAAATCTTTCAAGATCATGTTCGGACTAAACGTACTCGGAAAGACTTTCCCAAATGGCCAGAGCCGTTCTTAAAAGTACTTGGTCACCCTCGAGAAATATGAGATCCCAGACACGTAGTACCGCATCTTGTGGTAAACAATGACAAAATAATGTAAGGAACCATTGCATGGTGAATACGTTCGTAAGAGGTGGCTCGTAGCTGCTACCTGTAAAAAACATATCTGAGTTTAAATATTAATACGTTCAAAATTAAAATTAACCCTTATCGGCACGTCTTTAATGACAACGATATTTTGGCGTTTTGCTCATGTGTCACATAAAAATGAAAATCAATCACTAAACATTGCACTAAAACCAAAATCAGCTAAATACAATCTAAGGAGAATCGCATTTAAAAAAACGATGACGACCGATAAGGGTTAAATCTAAATCTCGTATTTGGTAATTAATGATCAACCTGTTGCTTTGTCTTTAGCGTCGCTTTGCAATACTTCAAGATGTTTGGATAATTTAGGCATTCTCGAACGAAGAAGATCCCGAAAAACGGCCATGTCGACGGAAAGACCGCGAAGATTGTCAGCAAAGTAACCCTCAGGTAGTACACCTTCTATTAGATAAATCATCACCTTCACGGCCGATGATTCTGCACGATCCATGACTTGTAAAACCAGTGCCGCCAATACGTTCAATCCTTGACAATAACCGACCGACTTGTTCCATCGTGCGAAACCGAGCAAAACTCTACGTAGGACAGCTTGATTGTCACGTCCAGCTGCACCGCAAAACAAACTGCATCCTGTTCTATGAAGATCCTGAATGGAGATAAATTATTCCAATTATTTTCTTCCGCTTATCACGATCGAAATCTAACTGATATTCGATCTACTGCATATCTTTTTTTTTTGCAATCTACTTTGTGAAAATAAAAATTCATTCTCGTTCAATTATCTTGGTGATATTTTTTTTTTGATGATGATATTCGAAATAAAACGAAATAAAGAAAATGAAAATGTACTTTCCGTCGCATTACCTTTACAATTTGTATACCAAGCTCCTCGTCGTCAGGATTACTCCACTCATTAAAGCAGACCTTTTCAGCCTGCTTCCAATCTACACCTCTTTGCTCCAGATGACGTTCCGCCAGTGTAAGCCAAAGCTGTGAAAAATACGTCGTAAAAAATAAGTATACTCCTAGTATACATCTTCTTATTTGTTTTTATCGAAATGAAAAATTTTAAAGCGTGTGTATGTGTGTATTTTTCCTAGTATAGCACAATATTAAACATTCCATTATTCGTACTTACTCTTTTTCGAAATTCCGCTGGTATGCCTCCTGGCAAACGTGCTACCATTTTCATAGCATCTAACCATTGTTGAAATCCACTTTCCCCGGGTTGAGGAGTTAAGCTAAATCTCATCTTCGTATCTTCGACTGAAATCGTAAATATGATAGTTTGATAATGTAGGAATTTCGTGAAGTTTTTATCTTTACTCTTCCCTCGTTTATTGTTTGTTCTTTCACGCACGTACGTTTAATCGTCGATATTGAGGCACGTGGGGATAGATACGTCATCCCCATTTATCCCTAACTGAGAGAAAGTCAAAGTTCATGAGAATACTAAGAAATCATATTTCCTTGGTAATCACATCCAAGCAACTAACCCTAGTACTTTGATTTTATCACGGGAACATAATCACGCCCCAGTTTAATGTAATTATACACTCTGCTACCAATCAATTTTATCGGCGTTTGATAGAACTTTAGAGGAGTACATTTAAAAAAAAAAAAGAAACATCATTCATTTTATTCCTACCACCCTTCTTCTTCCATACCGTACAATTAATTTTATAACAAAATTGTCATTGTCATTAAGAAATAAATAAAACGAAAAATAATTATATTCGATGTCGTTTAAAACGTATCGCGTTAACACGCACGTTTAGAATCGCGAATAAACTAATTAGCTTAGATAAGTCGTTATCTCTTTTTACCTCACCCTCATATAACACTATCGTAGATAAAATCGTAGTTAAAAAATCACTGACAGATAGAAAACTCGTTTAAGAATATTTTATTACCGACCAAGTTTCATTTTTTACCTAACACTTTATTATTTCGTTTATAATAATTTTCGTTCTTATTAGATTTCTATATTCGTAACCAGTTTTACAAATTGTTTTTCTTCGAGATAAAAACTGATGGAGAGTAAAAACGATCGTAGGATTTTTGTAATCATTTCTTGTTTTTTTTTTTTTTTTTTTTTTAAAGTGAAATAATATCATTTTTCATGCATCGAATAAATGTGAATTTCCGTCGTCGTAAAAACGGAAACCCGGAAAAAAACGAGAGAAAAAAAGTATTAAAAAAATTTAATACAGCATGTAAACGAAACGAAACGAATATTATTAATTCGTAGAATGTTATTTCACCTTCCAGCTCTTGATATCTCGAAGCAGAGCTTCCTGCGTACGCGGCTCCCGACGCGAGGTTTTTGAGTGAGTTGAAAAAACCGCTCATTCTCCAATTAGAAACGCCTCTCTTTCTTCTTCATTTTCTCATCTTTTCACCTGACCTGCCTCTTATTATATTGCTTGTACACGCCCTTCAACCGTTTTCGTGTCTCATGATTTCTCGTCCTTCGATTCATCGCCATGGAAGAATCATCATTAGACTCAGCACTTTTCGAAACTTTTCCCATAAGAGTTCCGCTTTCTCTATGGCTCTGAAAAGTTCACACATACACATGTATAGGTACTTAGATGCATTATCGAAATCCACAGGGAATAATTGCAGGACGAAAATTAAAAAATTATTACAAAGATTGATTATCCTAATTTGTTATTTCGATGATTCATTTGTTTCTTTTTTTTTTTTAACGTTTAAACAATTGTTGTTACGCAGGTATTTTTTTTATTTTTCGCAATGTAGATTTCTTTCGTATAAATCAATTTTTTTTTCACCGAATACATAAATCGTCGTCTTACATAATTTAATCTGTTCTGCATGGCAAAGACCCATGCGTCAAGGGTACCACGTGGCTTTTTATTACAAGCTTGAAAAGACACATTAGTAGAACGACTAGACGCGTCGAAGAAGAAAGCGAAAGGTAGATGCATGCATACATTAGGTCGGGCGAATCTAAAGAAACAATGAAAAGAAAGGAAGAATAAAAAAAAAAGACTTGGGAACCCTGAATTCACCTATGCGCTAGACATTTTCTTAAAGCGTGTATACGCGACTGCACCACCTGTTAGAAACTATGTCATCTACATATATACATATATATATATACGTGTGTGAGAGTATAGGCCAATAGATAGAAGTTATTTTAATAACATGTAAATTGCTTTGTTGTGTTGGACAAAAATCAGAAAAAAACCATTTCCATACGATAGGATCTTTTTTTTTATTTAAAAATCAACATACACACTTCCGTGCTCATATCGATGACAACAACAAAATTTCAACACTTTCAATTAAAACTTGAATAAACAATTTTTGAAAATGATCTGATTCAAAGGGTTAACCCCCACTCCACCCACATCGAATTGAACGAGCGAGGTCACGAGTTTCTAATTTTTGTCCAATAATAACACTTATACTTTTATCCGTTCGTGAAAAGAAAAAGGGCAATCGTTTGGTTGTCAATACGTCTAGGGAGTGACCTAATTTTGTCGAGAAGAGAAAATGAAACTCAACCGTATCTCATACATAATCCCATCGAACGAATTTCGCCGCACTGTAACCTACACTGACGCATCTATGTACGTATGTATGTATGTGTTGTACACGAACCGATACTGTAAACCCGTTGTCAACCAAGACGATCCTAAACGTATTATAAATGAACTAAACTGTTTACTGTTAGGTAAAACCAAACTTGACGAATTAATTAACTACGTGAAGAATTTTTTTGTCTTTTTAGTGAAAACTAAGAAATAAGAAAATAAAAGAAAATAAAAAAAGAAATACGCGTTTCTAGGAGGAAAGGTTTCTCGAAAGAATCGATGCGACAACGAACCCCGTAGAGAGAGATAGTTCAATCTTTTTTTCTTTCTTTTTCTTTTTTATTTCTTTTCTTCTATTTTCTTTTTGGTCTGTTCATTCAGCGAATACGCTCACGAGTAAAAAAAAAGTAAAACTGTATAGCAATAAAAAACACACACGTTTTATCTGTGAACGATTATCAACTTTGATCATCATACCATCCTTCCCCCACTCTCTTTATCTCTTTCTCTCTTTCAATCGAAGAAAAAAAGGGATTGGCCAAAATCTCAAATCTCGTAGTCGTAGCAGAAAACGTCGAACAACATCAACATCATCATCATCATCATCATCATCATCATCCTGTTCTTTCTGGTTAACGTTGAATCAAAGTCCGTACATGAAGCTTAGTCTTTTGGTTCATCTCCATTCAATCTTACTTCTTCTTCTTCTTATTCTTCTCCGTCACAATTAATGATTAAAAAAAAAACTAGTATATAACAATGTTCAATCCGATGTGAATTATTTTCATTCGCGTTAACACGATTTTAATGTAAACTCGTTTAAACGTATTTTCAAGAATGAATTATTTTTCATCAAAAAAAGAAATAACATCAACTAGTCAATTCGTTAAGGATAAAATGTAAATAAGATGCGATTAACGACAGTCGTACCACGACTGGAGTCAGCTGAACGACTAAAGGTGGAAGCCCGTCGTGGTGCGCTGTGTGCGCGCGCGCGCGCACAACAACCATCGATGATGGCTAAAATACCGGCCGCGGCGCTGTGGCGTCGGTGCTGGTGGTGGTGGTTGTGCCGTTGCTGACGAAAGGTGGGGGTGGGATTGAGGGGTTTGCTACGATTGGGGGTGGGATACGCTATAAAGTAACTTGACGTGTGTTCTTCATGCAAAAAGTCTCCTATAATTGAACTCTTCATTTACTTCTCGCAACTGCGAGAACAAGTTGTGGGGATTGCTTATTTCGTAGGAATTCAAAAACGTATCGTTGATGGTTAGGTTCAACCTGACTGGACCTTAATGGTGGCTTCTAAATTCCTTTTCAATCCATTTCCATTCGTTTCGTTTCTCTATATTATATCCGCGCATGCGTTCTTTCATCAAAGATGATTCTCCATCGAAAAATACGTTGCCATCGAGACAAATGCGTGCCAGGGGCAAGAGATTAGAGTCTCTACGTTAGTTAAATACTTTCTTCCATTTTTTGTTATTATTCTACGAGTAATACCCATCACCACCAACCATCTAGCCATTTTTTCATTCTATCTGTCTAATTATTTCATTTTGTTATTTCTTATTTTGAAAAAGTTACAGATAACATAGAGAGATCTTATTTATTGATTTGTTTCTCTTTTTGTTAGTTGTTGTTGTTTTTTTTAAGGATACGGATAATTTTAATCTTCCTTCACGATCTTATCGTATATCACTCACGGATCGACGAACTTATCGATTGCGCGCTCTCTTTATGGGTCATTCCGAGTCGTGCCATATTGTAAAAGTAGTGGTATGTATGTTGTATAGAAAGAGAGATAGAGACATACTTAGTATTCTCATTATTTTCCTTCTTCCTTTGACTCATTTGTTCTATTTTTTATTTGTGTATGTATGTGTTTTCATTAAAATAAATCTTTTGATAAGAAAGTTTGAATGTGATAAAATTGTTAGGTGGTTGACGATAGAAAAAGAGGTTAGGAATACTTTTCTAAAAATAATTTCATTTCATTTGCAATTTGTATCTTTCAATTTACGTTTACATTTTACTCGACAAATTGTTTAATTTTTGTGGAAGAATGTCATAGGAAGTTCTGCATTACTCGTTGATAATGGAAATATCGTTAAAAGTAACTTTAGGTGGCGGCACACGACGTAAGAAGAACTTTGGTCGTGCGCAGTATATTTTGAGCATGCGCATTTAACGATGTTGAAGCGGCAAAGTCTAATTATTGATCACTGCACTGTTCCCGTATGAAAACGACTTTGTATTCTTTGCTACTATCTCTCAAATGAGAATTTATTATTATTATTATTATTCCGTATTCATCTTGAAATATCGAAAATCAATCGGAATTTGCAATCGAATCGGATTATTAAACAATAAGTAATTGTTTTAATTCATCTTTGAAATAAAAGGAACGTGATATTTTTAAACCTAAGAGAAATTCGGATGAGAAGTTCGAGTATACGTGCGATTACTCTCGAACGATCGATCAATCGAATTTCATGAATATGTTATTTATTTATTCATATATGTATATGAGTATGTTTGTGTGCACGTGCAGTCGTCAACAAAGAATCATTTGTGAATGCACTATTTTAAATCGAATAATTTTGTTTGAATTGATAAAAAATTAGAACATTGATATTTATATTCTCCCGCAAGAAAATTCTTGAAAAGAAAATAACTTTATTGAAAGTAATAATTGTTTATCAGTCACGTAATAATCAAACGTATATATAATATATTCAATTGATTGAAATATCTATTTTAAAATAAAAAAATAACCGCGTTTTTTCCTACGCGGTACTATTTAATTTACTTTTATGAGAAATTCGAGTTTAAGTTTTATCGAATGAAATGAGAATGCGCATTACCGCCAACTCGGGGAATTACTTTTTTCGTACATGCGCGATGCACAAAAACAGAGAAAGAGAAAAAAAGTTAAAACAGTCCTTTCAAATATTTAATCAAATTACGCGAAATTCTTTTCAAACTTCATTTGATCATACATTTTATATTTTTTAAAAGCTTGCGTCTGTAATTTTATATAACTTTTTCTTGTTTTTTTTTTTTTTCATTGAATTTAAATATAAATACTGCATCAAAGTTTCATCGAAATTTTGATGGCACGTAATTGAAATTCAATTTTATATATACATTAGTTAAATGAAATAATCTTTTATTTTATACTGTTTTTAACATACGCGGAATTAATATTAAATATTATATGACGTTTATTATAGTTTATCCCAAATAACGTTATTACTCTCTCATAATATAGTTTCGTTAAAAGACACATCGTTATTCATTTCCCTATATTACGTTAACTAAACAAATAGTTTGACGGTTACACAATCAACGAGTAATTTTGTTCCGACTAAAGTAAACTTATCGCGCGTAAAAGATAATTTATATTGAGCAAGGCAATAAACGAGAGAAGAAGAGGGTTTCGAGTAATGGTGAGATATGAGAAAACGATAAAAATAAAACAACATAAAAAAAAATAAAAAAATAGAACAAAAATTAAGATTGTTAATTTAATAATATTTCTTATGACTCGTACTTACTTCTTTTCGCACTATGAGCTTGCAAATTAGCGGTTATGATGTCACACTGTTTATCACGTTTTACAATTAAATAATCCTTCCTTCGTAATTGACGAACTAACAATCCACCTGTATGATTAATGTGGTCGTGCAAAATTTTTATCAATACTTGCAACTCCGTTTTACCTGAAAATATAATTAACATATAATTTTTGTGTGTTACTTTTTTTATTTCTAAATAAAAAAACAGATATAAATAATATTAGTCCGTATTAAAGAACCATAAATTTTCTTCGTAGAAATTTAATTAGCACAATCCTTTAAATTCAAATTATCCTAATCGTTTAGATACAGTATGGGGTTTATATATATGTATATGTGAACCAACATAAATTTAAATTTAACAAGACAGATAAAATGCCATGTGTGGTAAGATAAGAGAAAAAACAAGTGTTCTCTCGGTAAAAAAGAAAAAAAAAAAGAAAAATAAAAAACAGGACAGCACTTAAAAGTCGAGGTACGTTCTTGTCTCGAAGTCAACGAGGTCGCTCGTCTGTCTGGCTTCTAGCAGCCTCTTGTCTCGTCAGCTACCCGAACCCTGAAGAGTCTTTGCTAATTTCAGGTGTCTTCGATTTATTTCTCTCTTTTTTTCTTTTCTTATTTTATTTTTTTACGCGAATTTATCATAAATTCACAAATTCGATGATGGTTTTTTCATGTTCCAAAGAATTGAAGAAAAAAACAAGAAAATCTTATAAATTTTCCAACGAACGAAAGGTTCGAAACCTTTTTACAAACTTTTATCCAACGACCCTGAGTTATTTTTTCCTCTATCCTATTTTTTTTTTTATTTTTATTTTTCTATCTCGTTAAACGACTTTGAGAGGGTGGAAGGGAAAGGTAGAAGAAGGAAAAAAAAACAAGAAGAATTTCGAACAATGGCGTCTACTACGTTCTTTACGAATGAAAAATAAAAAAGACATTTATCATTATAGGCTTTTTTTTTCCTTTCCTTCTTCGTAGGATCAATATCATCGTTTTGTGCGTGTGCTTTTCTACATTGAATAGTCTTACTTTTCAATAGGAGACGAGTCTTTTGTAAATATTGGTGCTGTGGATGTTGTCTCAAGGACGAAGAAGCTGTAGAATCGCTTTCGGAACGACTACCGGATGGAAAACCATAAATGTCCAGTAATAGTTTATCCACCAGAGAACAAACTCGTACTTCCTGTTTGTTATCTTGTATCGCCAATGGTGCTGGATATTTCTATAACAATGGGGTAGATACGTGTCCTTGGATTTATCGTTTAATAATTATTACATAAATCTTATAAATCATATTTATGAAGGATACCTTTGGACTCTTAAAAAAATGATCATTTTTCGTATTGACCATTTCTAATTGTCGTTGTGTATTCGTTGTTGTTGTTGTTGAATTACTATCCATAGATTTGCTTCTACGCATTTGTTTTTTCATCGACGAAGATGTAATGATACACTCACTAGCTCTTCTAATTGGCATTTTTTTATTCAATTCCATAAAATCCGGACCTTCTAATTTTTGTTCAATCAAATTACGTTTTCTCGCTTTGTAAACCGAATAATAAGGATAACCGATCGAAGAATAATCGAGATTTCTCGTTCGATTGGTTACAAATACATCGCCGAATACTTTTTCGTTTTCCACAGCTACGCATTTCACTCGATAACTTATCTCCGAATGATTTTTCAATGGTATCACTTTGCAATTCATGTTTAATAATTGTTTGTTACTAAATTTTGCATTAAAATTGTATAAAATCGAAATATAGTTTTTATTATTCGTTTGAATTATATCAGAGGGGGAAAATAAAAATAAAAAATGTGTTTATCAAAATTCAGTAGATTTCTTTACCACGGTACATACATAACCCGTTTCGAAACTTTTCATTTATAGTCTGTTACATTCCATACATGGACACTTCAAAAATGTTCTCCTTGAATTTTACGGTACGTAATTAGATACATCTAATTGTAAGTCGACGAACGAGTCAGCAATCTTAAAACCACACTTATCTAACGGACAATCTCTTCTTTTGACAAGCCGTTTGAGTTGCGTACAATAAAAAGAAAAAACAACGCGATCATCTGTACTCGTGTGCAAGTTTTGCATCCGATGAAACAAACGACGGATATGCCCTGATATGAGATGCAAGAGAAAAAACTTCGATTCCCTCCTCCTCTCCCCTTCACCTTCTCGTCAGGGCCAAAGGCAAACTTCGTTCGCAATTAAATTTATCCAACCGATAATATTTATCGGTTAGATCTCACTTCTCTGTTACGTAGAGACAAGTCGACGTAATTTCTTGTTTTCTTGCTTGTTTCAAAAAAATCAAAAGATGAAAATAAAATAATAAACGTGTTGCTTTCTATTACACGTTTATTCGTTTATTGGAAAACACACGCGTGTGTTCACATTCTTCTCTACTTAAAACACTTTCTTATTCGACAAATTTAGTTTAGTTACTATTGCAACTTAAGTTATTCTGGCTCAACAACGTTTTAGACGTTATCACAAACCGGTAATACCCTTCTGGTAGCCAGACCACAACTGGAAACGTCGACGATGATAATCACTTCATTAACCGAGCACCTACGTTTGCAACAACTATCCTATCGCCGAGTGGTCAGACGTGGAACTGAATAAATTAAACAAATACGTAACGTTTATATTTATCATACGTTTGGGTATTGTCAATTGAAGATTTAGCGAGTTTATAATTCCCTTCGAAGGACAAAAATTAACATATCTTTCTGTTATTGACACAATCAAATTTCTTCTCACTTGATTGAAAAATAAAAAATGTTCGCGCGCGGTGTTGTTTTTTATTACAAATTTCATCATAGATATCATTCAATATCATAGAAATTTAACATAATTACGTATAATGAACAAACAGAAAAAAAAATACATTTCCTTTCCCTTTTTGTTTGGTTCTTGTAAAAGTGTCAATGAAAAAATAAAACAAAAATATGTTTTATTTATTAGCTTTTTCTTATTATCACAAGATCGCGATAACGCGACCAACATATAACGTTCCTCGGACGTTGTAAGAATTTAAAGCAGACGACGACGAAGAACGGTGGGTGCTCAAGCCTAGTCATTCACCTGGTAAGCTCATTGACCCTTTTCTAATCGGTAAGCTTTAAAAGTGGGAAGAGAAGACCCCTATCTGTATACTTAGAAAAAAAATCTACACTCTTGAGCGGGCTTATGCATTTCTACTATTTTTTTTTAAAGTATTTTCTTCCCACGATCACGTTGGTTGCATTCATGCTGTCAGTTTTCTGACTATCTATGACAGAATACGTCGAGAAATAAAATTATATACGAGAAACATTGAAAGCTTCGAAATAGATAAGAACGTTTTATAGTAGTAGTAATAATAGTAGTAATGTGATTATCAAAATAACATTTTATTGTTATCTGGTAGTCGATAATAAACCATGAGAGAGAGATACACTGCACTGATTTTATTTAATTCCGCGTTTATTAAAACGCAATGCGAAAGTGATATATATAAAAAGTAACTTTAACAAATGGAAAATGACTTATTAAATCGATAATAACAATTTGCAATCGAAATAACGTAACTATGGTAGCAAATCAAAGATGGTGGTTTTGTGGACTTTCCCATCACGGTCGATGATATGAAACCAAAACGTTATCCAATTATTTTTGATAATTTCGTCGGGTTAATTTCATTTCCATGTGTAAATCTTTGAAAATGTCCAAAATTACTTCTTGTCCTTGCAACGAAGGGAAAAATTATTCGGATGAAGATGAATTGCGTCCACGTACCGATGAAATTTATCGTACGTGCAAACTTCCTACACGTTTTATGTATCCAAGTGAGTATAACGATCATCAACGTAAAAAAAAAAAAAAAAAAAAAAAAAATAAAAAGTGTATGCGATACGAGATTCGAAAGAGAACTTCATTCAAGCGAATCAGTGAAAACAAAAGAGAAAAAGAGTTATACAAATAATAAATATGATAAAAATCACGCCAACGTTTTGAAGTATGTAACTTTGTGTCGGTGCACTCGGAGGATAACCTTTTACGCGACCATAAACGATTTGTTTCTCTTTTTATCACATTTCTCTGACGGTATTGTCAGAAAAATTGAAATTTTAAAGAAGATGTTTAAGTTTAACAATTTTCATTTTTCTTTTTTCTCTTATTACTCGAAATTTTTATTTTATTTATCTATTATTTATCGTTTACCATCATTTTAAACGGAAATTTATTATTCCACGCACACGCGCAATAACAAAGTGTAGATTTATTAGCACGTTTAATAAACATCTATTTTAATTAGATCTTTTAATTCTAATTAATTAGGATTTGTTGAGAATAGAGAAACATTTCTTCTCTTTCTTAACTCGTTAAGTATTCCTTTAGCAATTTCTTCTTCGCAATTAGTCGTAAATTCTACCGAAAGATATTCTCGTTAAGTGCACGATAACGCTTGGCTATTAATAAGCAACCCGTACTCGATCACTGCTTGCACCCATATTCGCATCTTATCTTGAATAATAAACATTTTTATGTATGTCATCGGCATATACCTCATGTATTATTAGTTATTGTTATTCGTAAAGAGTTCGATTCGTTTAAACCATTGAAAATTCGTTTAACTGCAAATATTGTAATTTATGATTATCGAATGATTTCTCTACGAATATCTGTGTTCTTTGTGAATCAAAAATTACGAGCTTAATAAATAGGATATTTAAATAAATTCTTTTTCTTTTTTAACAAATTTCAGATCCATAAATTTAATAAAAATTCTAATATATTGTCATTATCGTATAAATAAGTATTAAGTAGTATCCATTGTATGTTTCAAGAGTAATTCACATAAATTCGTATAATACTTGTCTTTGTAAGATCAAATGAAGAATTTCATTTAACGTTAAGCACACATTTTCAAATAAAGTAAGAAAAATATCTCAACACAAGAGTTACAAAGAATAACTAGTATTTTAACGATTACGAGTTTAGCTTTGAAATGGCATCCATACTTGAGTAATTTTCTCATAATCGGAGGAGTATTTACTCTGTTTGTGATATCTGGTGCGAAATGGTAAAAAGTGAGAGAAGTTGTCTATATATGAAGAGAAAACGATCTCCCACGGGGGTCAGTGTGTAAGTTCAGCTTTACAGTGGAAACATCATCATGTTGAATATCACGCTGTGCTTTCTCGTTCTCGTCTTACGAGTTCTCTCATCTTACCCGTTATTATTCGCTTACGGTTATACTGAAGAAGAAATCGACTGCCAGGTTTATAACCACCTTTACGTTTGTCTTTCAAACGGTGTACTCGAGAGTGTTGCATTCAAAGACGTAAAAGCCGTTCAAACGATCGAAGATACCGAATTGCATCTCGAGGATCTTGGTATTACCGATATAAAAAAAAATGCTTTTGTTCAAGTCAACAATTCAACGGCACTTTATTTGAGAAACAATAATTTGTCGATCATTTCGAAATATTATTTTGAGACGTTAGATCAATTGACCTATTTGGATTTGCGAAATAATTCTATTCGTGATATCAAGGATTCCGTTTTCACCGAATTGAATTATTTGGAAACGTTGCTTTTGGATAATAATAATATTTCTGAACTTCGTCCTAATGTTTGGCGAGGATTGACGGAACTTCACGAACTTTATGCAACTAATAATAATATTGTACCTAAGAGAAATGCATTTAAAGGTTTGAGACAATTGGAAACGTTAGCTTTGGATTCTAATGGAATTACGGAAATACCGATTGGCACGTTTGCCGGACTACCTCACCTTGATTTACTTTATTTGTCGAGAAACAAAATATCCAATTTACATCCAGACGTATTTCGTGGCTTGAACGAGATAAACGAATTGGATCTTGGGAAAAATCATTTTCAATCTATTCCCGGTGGATTGTTTCGACATTTGAAAAGTTTAAATTCACTTTGGTTGAACGGCAATGAAATCGAAATGATCGAAAATGATACCTTCGAGGGATTGGACGAATTATCGATTTTATTTTTGAATAACAACAAACTACGTTTCGTCGACATGTCTGCTTTCGCCAAAATGAAACTCGTCACTGTTGAGCCTGGATTTAAAATAAACAACGAATTGATCGAGCAATATTCCGAATTTACGAAAAAATATCATTGTAGCAATATTAATTATCAGGAACCGTACGATTGCGTAGAAATCGCGGAGTAATTTTTATCTTTTTTTTTTTCATCGAGTTATATATAAAAAAAAAAATACAAAAGTGTGTATTTGCAAAAAATTGGTAACAAGTGTATGATAGTTTATACAATTTCAATATTAATTAAACATTTAATAAATAGTAAATAATATGTTTTGTGGAAACGAAATTTAATAGATTTGATTGAGGAGAAAACAAAATATATATTTAATATATATTAATAATATATATA